AATACTTTACATATATATTACCTTATATATTAAATGTGGAATTTTCATTTAATAAAATGAAAAATACAATAAAATGACAAGTGGAAAATAGAAAATTTAAAAATTATAGAAAATATCAAGTGTCCAAATGAAGGAGAAGAGGACATGTGACAAATAAAACCTTCATTTATTAGAGTTGATGATGTATAATGTATTTGTATTGATCTATACTTTCGTTATGGTATTTGAACCTGTTAATACGAATGAATTACAATATTCTCTTACATGTTATTAGAACATTCTTTACATCGATCCTAAAAAAATTTACAATGCAATAAACTCTTTAGAGTTTAATTGATTGCCACATCCTCTATCTATTCTTCATACATTATTACTATTTTCTTTTTCATGTAATGCATTAAACTTTATAAATTTCAACGAGACATATTTAAATGATGAAATCATTTATTAGAAAACATCTATTTTCCCATTGAAGAGTTCAATGATCATTAAACTCTATATCCATTAGTAAACGCCAACTTGGCATACTACTGGTATAGTTTAATCTATTGAATGTTAATTATGCGTGTCATCTCATTCGATCCCCCCGCTAAATATGCATTGTGGAAGCTCTAGGCCTTCATTGTCAGCCCTCTTTTCCTCCCCTTCTCTTATCTTGTTGACCAAGGCAAGACTCTCAACCTTTTTCTTTATCTCCAGGTCGACTACCTCTTATGTCGATTTCTCTTCTCCAAATTACCTCCCTCCTCATATTTTTTCTTCCTTTTCCTTACCTACACGTCTTTCTTCTTCCTTTCTTCTTAAAAACTATGACTACCTGATGTGTGCAAAAGATATCACCTCTCCAACTTCCCAACTCGAATGAGTAAAGGGATATATATAGTTTTCGAAAATCCATCCTCACGTTGTGATAATTAGAGTCTCATGTCGTGATATCAGTGTAATCCGTGTCCGTCAAGGAAACTAGCTTTCGCGTGTCTATCTTCTAGAATATTTGTAACACCCCAAAATTCAAGGCCAAAATTTCATTTTTAAATGAGTTATTATAAAACCAACAGTATAAGAGAACATCCATAATAACATCCCATGCCAAAACCAATATGTCAATAATCAAAACATGTCATCATAAAATCCTATCATAGTATAATCCCAAAGATCTCTTGTGCGGAAAACATAGTGTGATGCGCTGCGATCGAGCCGACTCCTTTTTTTCGAAAATGAAGTACCTGAAACCAAAACTGAAAACCGTAAGCACAAAGCTTAGTGAGATCCCCAGATACCACATACCACACATATCAACTGATCCATACATGCCATACATAACAAACATATCCATAATCAAGTAAGGTGCTATGTGCCAAACATAGTCTTGCTAAGGTGCTATGTGCCAAACATAGTCTTGCTGTTATGCCACGGGCCGCACGTGGTCTTCCTAGTCAAGCTTGGGGCCACTCCTTGGGTCTTACAGACAAGTGCCAAGTACCACCCCTGGTCTTCCATACAAGCATCATAAAGACAACTATACATGCTACTATACTAGGCTACTCAGTATATAGGGTGCCAGGAGCCACCTCCTAGTCTTTCATTCATGTTGCCTAGGGCTAACCCCTGGGTCTTCCTACCAGACATAATGGCATGTTCTGTGCCAGGAGCCGTCTCCTGGTCTTTCATGTATATTGCCTAGGGCTAACCCCCGGGTCTTCCTATCATACATAAACTAAATAGGTCGGCATTGTGGTCGTAGACCCATACAAATAGTGAGGAGACTCACCTCACACTGCCAAAGATTCGCTAAACACTTCTAACTGCTAACCGACACTTCTGAACCGCTGACCCTTCGGCTTCCCGAACTATCAATACCCAAAACAACATTTAGACCATAATAATCCAAAAGTCAACCCTAGTCAAACGTGGTCAAAGTCAACGGTCAAAGTCAACATCCAGTTGACCTGACTCATCGAGTTGGTCTACCAACTCATCGAGTTCATACTCCGAAAAACAACCCCGACTCCACTCGTCGAGTCTAGCAAGAACTTGACGGGTTCTCCTTCAACCATACAATCGGGACCAACATCAACCGACTCACCGAGTTGTATGAACAACTCGCCGAGTCCATCTTCATAGACTAAGGAGATTGTCTTGGACTCGCTGAGTTCTTCTTTGAACTCATCGAGTACGATGAACTTCATGACCATTATGGACTCAGACTGGCTGGGTCCCTTTCTAATCTCATCTCTCCCCTTAACAGAAGGGGTTTAGGGGCAAGAACTGGCCTGACTCGCCGAGTCCCACAACTGACTTGCCGAGTCTCTCTATGTCCAACACTATTCAGACGATTCCATACAAGCTCTAGGCATCCAAGACCCAGGTCTAGCCTCCTAGGGTCGGGATGTCACACAAAGTTGCTACCTTTGCACCCTTACATGGCCCTTTTTGCTCAAAAGGCCATAATAACCACTTAATCTTTGCACATGGAGGTTTGATGGCATAAAACTCACAC